CTTACGCAAAAAGAAAGTCTGCAACGTTGCTCCAATCCCTGGCGAGACGAAGGTTATTTAGTTGCATAAATTTTTATCTAAGTATTTTAAAAATTTTTAAAGATCTAGTCAGAGTTCACCTCAAGATGTTATTGTTTGTTACTGGGAAAATACGTCATTGATATATGGACAAAATGCAGGATTTTGTAATTAATCGAACCAGATGGCTCTTCAGGGTTTTTCAAGCAGATGATGAAAAATATTTTTCAGATGAACATGAGGAGTTGAAATAGAAGAACTTCTCTCCTACCCAGGTTGTATGATGCTACTACATTCCTAGTTGGAAACAGTTACGGTTGGGCAGAAATTCACAGTTTCATTGTGTCGAATATCATGCGTGCCCCATTTTCTTTCTTATGGTGTTTCAAATTTTAATTAGTTGTAAAATTCCTCCTGACAAAATATTTATTAACAAAATATACAGGATTTTCTTAAAATGAAAAACAGTAACAAAAAAATGTATAAAACAAATTGTGATTGTCAACTGATGATGTGTAGCTGTCTGTGCACCTTCATTTTAGCCGTACTGTAAAGAATCGTAGCCATATGCCGTTAAAGACTTACAGAAAGAAGGGTAGTAGTGCGTACTGTATGCATAGGACGTAGTTATACCTGGTTAAGGCAGACGAAGCAGAAGTCAAATCACAAAATCATGTTGACGAAGAAAATAAGATGGGATATTTTTGGGCCAATTTGGCACATAGAACATAGAAAACGCCAAACAATTGGTAGAGACACAAGCCTGTTCAGTATTCAGGTATTAGTGAAATCGATAGTGACGTAAAAGATCAGTCAGTCCGCCGTAGATGTGAATCAGAGGTTTGGAGGAAGAAAGTGCCATGAAGCTTGCTAGAAAGAACCATTTTCTTGCCATATCAGTTTCTAAACGGTATGTTTTGGATACTTCGGAGTGCCGTCTAAGCAAGACAGGTTCCTCGGTGTTGCACTGCAAAGCGTGCACATACGTATCGCATCGATATATGATCTTAACATAAACTTTCTCCTTAGCAGTAATGTTTTAGGATGTTTAAAATGGCATGAATGCGTCACCTCGGTACATACCGTATTTTTCGGACCATTAGGCGCACTTAAAATCCTTATATTTGCAAAAAAAATCGCCATTGCGCCCTTTAGTCCGGTGCGCCTTATATATTAATTTTGACCTGAATCCTTCATACAAAAGATGCTCCTTCTGCTTCTGCGATGTCGTCCTCTCCATGGTTATTTTACTAAATTTATAAAATGGTTTGATTTCGTAGAAAGACTCCTTTGTAATTGGGC